CAAAGGAAAAAAAAAAAGGCAAGTACATGAGCAAGAAACACCCATTCCTTTACCACACCTTGACCCCTCTACCATGAATGCCAGGAGCAACCACAAAAGTAAATAAAGGTGGCTTGCAGGGTCAAAGAGGCTTGAGACCCAAGGCCAAAGGTCCTCAGATCTGCAGGCCCAGGCCCAAGGGCACAGAAAGCCTCTGTGAGGAACAGATCTGGCAGCATCCCCAAACAAGGGGACAGGCAGCCTGATAGCCAGCAGAATAAAGGGGTACAATTCTACAAGGCTGACCTCCGTGCTGGACGTGAGGCCTGTGGGCCCAGCGCAGAAACGAGTTTACATAACAGGCCTTTGTGTCGGCCCAGATAAGAGTGAGCAGAGGAGCAGTCAGAGGTTTCTAAGGATTTAGTACCAGCTGAGATTTCCTGGGGGACAGAGAGGAGGGGGAGAATGGGAGGAAGGAGCAAGTTCAGGCATCATCTGTCGCACCCAGAAGTAACAACAGCAATAAAACAATGCCTTGAGCTCGTCTGCCTTAGAGACCCTTGCTCCTGATTTACAACAGCACTTTCAGAATAAATAAGAGTAATGCTGATGGTTGCCTCTGAGAGAGAACTGGGTAGCTCAAGAGACAAAAACAGAAAGTAGCTTTCTTCCTGTTTCACCTTTTTATGATTTTCAAATTTTGGAATCTGAATCATGTGAATGGTTTACCTATTCCAAAAATTTGTCAAGGAAATCTAAAACTATTCCAGGTCTGCCCAGAGTAGTCCTACAACCTACGAATGAGGAAGAGCAAAGATTTTAGTCCCATTTAAGGGATGAGGAAGACTGAGACTCCAAGAAGGGAACATGACATGCCTAAGCTTGCGGCAGGTTGGGAAGCTAGATCCAGACTTTCCTGACCCAGGGCTCCTTCCCAGGAAACTCCTCAGTCTGGGAGAGCAGCAGCACTGCAGCTCATTTCCCTGGGATGGTGCTGAGAGCCACAGCCAAAGGAATCGACTGATGCTGCTACAGCCAAAGCTTTGCCACTGGCATGGCCACATAGGTGGCCTCTTCGAGGCTATCTCAATGTTCTGACCAGCACTGCGGCACAGCAAGTAAAGCTACCGCCTGGGACACTGGAACCCCCTATGAGCACCAGTTCAAGTCCTAGCTGCTCTACTTCCAATCCAGCTCCCTGCTAGTATGCCTGGGAAAGCAACAGAGGCTCCTGACTTCAGCATGGCCCAACCCCACTCATTGTTGTGGTTAGGGGAGTAAACCAGTGGACAGAAGATCCAGTTTCCACCTCTGCTCTCTGTAACCCTACCTTTCAAGTAAAGTTTTTTTTTTTTTTTTTTAATAAATGTTCTGATTAACTGACTGACAAGTACCTTGAAATTCCCAGAGCATCAACCCATATTATTAAAAATCTGTATTAGTAACGTCCAAATGTACATGCTTTGCTCAATAACCAAATGACTCAACTATATTTGTACTAGATTCATTGATCCAAAGACCCAGGATTTACTGATTTTCAGAGCAAAAAATCAGCACTGAGGTCAAGTGTAACAGTGAGCACCAGGCTTAGCAGACTACCAGACCCTGGATTCAAACACTTGTTTTGTCATTGACTTGTAAGTGACCCAGGGTAGGCCGGTTACTTCACTTATCTGGACTCAGCTTTCCCTTCTACTAAAAAGAGCCAATGAGCAAGCATATACTGAACACAACTGTCTGATGCTGGCCATGTGGACAGCTGCATCTTTAGGGAGGGCGAGATAAGCCAACCAGAAAGTTCAAGGCTTAGTAAGTCCCATGACTTAACACCAGAGTGATGCGGTGGAAGATCTGGGAGATGAGGCAAGGTCTCTGAAGAGACAGCACTCACACTGGGACCTGAATGATGAGCCAGCGATTGTGCAGGGATCTCCGGGTAACATACGATAGGCAAATGTACATATGCAAAGTTCCTGAGGCATGCAGTGGGCATTGACACAGAGGTTGTGACACTGTTCAGGATGCCCGCATCCTATCAAAGTCCCCAAGCTGGAGTCCCATCTGTGCTATCCTTTTCAGCTGCCTACTAATGTGCACCCTGGGAGGCAACAGGTGATGGCTCAAGGACCTGGGTCCCTGCTATCCTCACAGGAGATGGGACTGGGTTCCAGGACATGGCTTCAGCCCGGCTCAGCTGACTGACATAGGCATTTGAAGAACAATCCAGAAGATGACTGATTTCCTTGTCTTTCAAATAAATGTTTTTGTTTTGTTTTGTTTTGTTTTTAAATTAAAATGTCCTGAGGCAGAAATGAGGCTGAGGAGTGAAGTGGGAGGGACGGAAGTTGGGAGATGAAGTCAGGCAGGCTTACAGGCCCATCTCTCTGAGTAACGGGTGGTGATGGGACATGATCAGAGCAATAAAGGAATTTAATTAGATCTGTGATTTTTCAAATGTTTTCTTTTGGGGCCACAGAACTCTATAATCTGATAACGGAGCTTCAACACACAAGATACAACAGTCTCCTTTCAGCTGGTTGGGAAGCTAGTTAAAGCCCCTCTAAGCCACCAGAAAGACCCAGGTCACTCCCAGGGAGTGCCCTAAGGTTCTTCAAGTTCTAACAAACAAGGACAGAGTATTCAGAGGGAAGAGTGGATGCTGTTTGGACCAGCAATTCTTTCATCAAGGTTCCAGTTAAAAACCATACTGCTGAGACTGAGAGATGGAAAACAGACGAGCGGTTGCCAGGGGATGTGGTGAAAGGAGGGAAGTGACTCTAAGGGGACACAAGGAACTTTCAGGGCTGATGGAAAAAGTCTCCATCTTGACTGTGATGGAAGTCACACCTGGGTGTACATCTGTGAAAATCACTACCTGAACAGGTAAAACGGGTAAAGCTTCCTATGTGTACATGAAGCCTCAAAAAAATCCCACTTTAAAAAAGAATCACATTGCTGGGAGACTTCTGAGAATTACTTTACAATGAGGACACAGACTGGTTCCCGCTGAGTCAGTAGACCCCAGGAATCCTGACTGGAAGGGCAATGTCCCCCGCTCAGTTTTCATTCCCAGCCTCCTCAGGGGGAGGGGCGTCAGGCATGTCAGACTGCAAAATAAGGAGGTAAATCATTGCCAAAGGCTTTCCCACCGCAGTCAGATCCTAGAGGAAAATCCACAACTCTGTGGAAGCAACCTGGGGGAAGGCAGGGACAGACTTGCCAGCTGTGTGCCCTGGAGGCAGTGACATCCCCAACAGGCAAAGAGCACAGCTGCCAAACAGGTGGTTCACAGAAGGTGGCTGCTGGCCTTGGAGAGACGGCCTTCCCCACAGAACTCTCCTGCACCCAGGGCCACCACCTACCAGGAACAACCCGGAGGTGGTCACGGGAAAAGAAACCACACACGGCTCAGCTTTGCATTGCATAACCTGTGCTTGGGTGCACAGTCCACACCGGGCTCCACTCCGCAAGGCACAGGCTGTTATCTCAGCAGATAAACAGGACTCCCCCTCCTCCCCCCAAACCCCCATCAGCACAGGGCCACCCCCAGCCCTCAGACACAGGCCCACGGCTTGCCAAAAGGTCACCACTGCTCTTTGTGCTTCTGTTTTCACACTTCACTTTCCCTGCAGCTGCTGGCGTCATCTCAGGGCACAGACCCGGCCAAGCACACACTCCACCCATGCCAGCCCTTCCCTGGGCCACCTGTTCCAAAAGAGGTGGTCCCAAGTGACTCAACACTGCCTAACGGTGGCACCTTGCTATTTTCCATCCCATGGTGACCAAAATACACAGAAACCTAGATTTTTTTTTTAAAGAAACAAAAACAAACCAAAAAAAAAAAGAAAAAAGAGAAAAAGCACCCTTCAGGAAGGGTTTTCTGCTTCCGTGGTCACATCAAGTCTAGAGGCATCTGCTCATTCGGTCTGTTAACTGAGTTTTGAATCCACACTGGGGCAAGAGGGAGGCAACACCCAGAAATTATCCCAATTTACAGCAACAAAGACAAAGAACTAAGTAACCTGGCCAAAGGAAAACAATGGCCAAGCCCACAGCTACCCAGAGAGGCAGAGCACCCGGCAGGGGCAGGGCTCGGGGACCCCTTCTTCCTGGCTCCACTTCATGAAAATGTTGCCCAGAGCTGCTCCAGCCCTAGATCCAGAGTGGTCCCGAACAGAACAGCGGGGAGGGCAGAGCAGAGCAGAATCCTGCCCCGTGGGCTTCCCTAAAGCTAACCTCCTTGCCAGACAGCAAGGCTCTGCCCAGTCCAGGTCTCCTGCTCGGCTAGAGAGGACTGGTACCTAGGTTGGGAAACTCTGATTTCATTCATCACACGCATTATTTATCAAGCCACCGCCAGGACACTGTGGCAACCACATCCTGCTGTTTCTATCCGGAGCCATTGCCAAAGCTTGGTCCTCTCCCCCATCTTCCGGTATCTGAAGTTTTCGGTTTCTATCGAACTCCAGCTGGGGGAGGGGACCCAGGGCTGGCCCCGCTCGTCAAGTTCCACCACCCCTGGGTCCACAAAGAGACGGCCGGGAGGCGTGGCCTGGCCGGAAATTCTGACAAAAACTTGTGGCCCTCGGGTCCCAGAAGCGACTACTTCCCGATCTCCTCCAATCTCCGGGGTGCAATTTTCTGACTAAAAGAGGTCAAAAGTCCGTCTGTCACCCACCCACAAACCCCGGGCCCCCGCACTCCATGGCGCCCCGCCTGTCCTGCCTCACAACTAGGTTTCACAGGCTGTTTTCCACTGGAGAAGTTATTTTTGGGGGCAAAATCCCACCAGCGTCTGAGCTCCGGAGCCCGGGACCCCCTGCTTCTCTCACCCCACCTCCAAACCGACGCTCTGAGTACTTGAACCCGGCCCAGACCCCAAGGCCCCAGGCCTGCTCCGGCGAGAAGAATGGAGGGGGGGGGAAGCAACATTCTGGGATCTGCAAGAAACTCTGACCCATCTGCCCTCGCCCCGCCTGCTGGGGGACAACCTTCCAGGGCCCCCCGCACAGGCCTCCCACCTTGACCCGCTTGCCCTGGATCTCCAGCGTCTTCATGGTGAAGTCGACGCCGATGGTGCTGCCCTGGCGCTCCGAGAAGGCGCCCGTCTTGAAGCGCTGCACCACGCACGTCTTGCCCACGCTCGCGTCGCCCACCAGCACCAGCTTAAACAGGAAATCGTACTGCTCGTCCGGGTCCCCCGGACCCGGGCCCGGACTGGCCATGGCCTCGCTGGAGCCAAAGGGCCGGAGCTCCGGACGCTGGGGCCGGCCTGGCTCACGCAAGCCGCGGTCTGAGCGCCTTCAGCTCCAGCCCGAGGGCCTCCTGGCGACGTGGAGCCAGAAGCCTCGACACCTGAGCTAGCGGCGCCGCCGACCGCCGGCCCCGCCCGGCCCCGGAGCCCCGACCCGGAGTCCCGCGGGCTCAGCTCCGCCCGGACTCGCTCGGTCTGGCCCTCGGCAGAGCCCCGGGTCGGCCCTCAACTCCCCGCCAGGCCAGTCAAGCCCTCAGGCCCGCCCCCGGCACTGCCTCCCGGGTCTCCTCAGCCCGACTCCGCCCCCGGCCACGCCCAGACCCCGCCCCTAAACCGCCCCCGAGCCCGCCGTCAGCAGCCCGGCTCCGCCCTCCGCTCAGCCAGTTAGCCCCGCCCCCGGCCAACTGTGCCCTCGGCCCCGCCCCTTCACGCTCCGTCCTTCAGCTCCGCCCCCAACATCACGCCACGCCCCACAGCCAATTTGTCCCGCTCCCAAAACACGGTCCACTGCAAGACCAGACCACGGGTCCTGCCCTGCCTCAGCTGCCAGGCCCTTCTACCTTCTGTCCTCCCAAATGCAAAATCACCAGTAAGCTCGAGGCCATGGTGGCGTCTCTGGGTCTGCAGTCCTTGTACCTAGAATGGGTGTTTGAGGGCAGTGTCACCTCAGCTCTCCCATCTACAAGCAGAGCGGCAGGGCAGCAGAGTGCCACGCACAAGGGGTGGCCTGAATGGCAGCGTTCTCCTAGCCTGAACTGGAGAGGTCAAGATCCTTGGGAGGAGAGTAACCCCAAGTGCCGTTTGGCAGAAGGCTAGGCCAGGAAAGCAGGGGTGGGAGACCCCAACACACAGCCTAGCTGTGGTTGTAGCAGCTGCCTGCTTGACTCACATCAGGGACCGGCTCAATTGGATCCAGCTGCGGAATTCAGACCAAATGCACCAAGAAGAGGTCCAGGGTGGTCCCTGAGAGCTGGGCAGGAGGGTAGACCAGCACAGTGAACCAACGCTCCCCAGAGTGGTGGGGCCCAAACATCTGCACCAAGTTTAAGGGCTTCCCAGACCCCAGGAGAGAAGAAACTAACACCCCCTCTTCAGACAGCACTCCCTTTGATGAAAAGTGTTATTTATTTACTTGAAAGGCAGAGTCACAGAGAGAGAGGGAGAAAGATCATCCATTGTTCACTCCCTGAAGAGCCACAGGACCAGGAACTCTTGCGTCTCCTACAGGGGTCATCCTGCTGCTTTTCCAGGGAGCCAGACAGGAAGTGGAGCAGCTGGGACTTGAACCAGCACACATATGGTACACTGGCACTGCAGGTGGTGGTCGTTGGCCTCAGATACCTCCTCCAATTCCATAAAGCTGCCTGTTGTGGGCCAGACACCAAAAATACACCAGTGAGCAAGGAAGACAACTGAACAGGGGAAACGACCTTCCAGAAGCTTGGTGAGACCATGGAAAGTGAGACCACCAGCACAATTATCCCCGAGGACCCTGACCAGACCCATGGATCAAATGGGGGAGAAATCCAGACCCAAGGAAAAGACAGCAGAGTTTTGTTTTTAAAACAGTTTGAACTCCGCCTCCTGGGAAGTACCCAATGGTTTCAGACAGGAAGCCCTGAAGTGCCATTGAAAAGCAATTCTGAGATCCCTGTTTTGTATATCAAAAGAGAGCAGAGAACTCAAGTGGCAGGAAATAGCTCCCATTCCAAGGCAGGAGACTGAGGAGTGTGACAGCGAAGCGATGTGGGTGCTGGGGTGGGCTCTGATGAGCACAGTGTGTCAAGGTGCAGGACCCCAGAACAGTCACGAACTTAGAGAGCCCAGGAGCCAAGATGAGACGTGGTTAGTGGGGAGGACCCTGTGGCCCAGTGAACCAGGAATCCTTAGAGAAATGAGGCCCAAACATGTGAAGTGGAAACAGGATCAGCTGAGACAGGGGGCGGGGTGGGAAACAGGAGAACAGGAGTGAGAACAGAACAGTAGTGCCTTAGCCTGGGATGGGTTTGGCGTGGACTGGAACAGGGTGCCAGGTGGACTGGGTATGGGCTTTGTCAGAAAACCTTGCTACCATGTGCATTTGTGAGGTGATGTGGCATTCTACACCTGGACTGTGGCAAGGGTGGCACCATTCAGGGACTTCTTTAAAATGATTCAAGCGCTTTAGACATGGAACATTTCACACAATGGATACAAGTCTGTCTGCAGTGGGGGCAGCTATTGACCCAACGCCCAAGACACCTGTGTGCCATACCAGAGTGCTTGCACGTAAGTCCTGGCTCCAGCTCCTGCCAGTACAGAAGCTGGGAGGAAACAGGTGTGGCTCAGGTGCTTGGGTTACTGCCACCACTTGCGGGAGGCCGGAGTCAAGTTCTGGCCTGGCCCAGCTCCAGCTGTTCCAAGCACTTGTGGAGTGAACTGGTGGATAAAGATCCATGTCTGTGCCTTTCAAATATATAAAAATGAATCAAACTTTAAAATGTTTATGACACAATATTTAGTACCCAAAATGTGAAGTAACATAAAACACAAACTTTTAAAATCGGGTCAATGTTCTAACCTCCTTAAAGCTGGTGAAGGGTAGATTGAATGAATTTTGTGCCACTGCTACATTGTGGCACCAGAGAAAATAAATCTATAGGCATAAAAAATAAACTTATACGCATCTCATAACAGCAATGTTCAGAACTTCTCCATGCTGTGTGAGGGAACAATGTACCTGCATTCCCCTTTTCTTCCCACCTTTCGTCTTAATATTTTATTCATATATATATATATATTTCAAAGACTTACAGAGGGACAGGGAGAGATATATCTTCCAGTAGCTGGTTTACTCCCAGCTGGCCACAGTGCCCAGGACTGCTCTTTGTCAGAGCCAGGAGTCAGGAGATTCATTTAGGTTTCCTATGTGGATGGCAGGAGCCCAAGCACTTAGGCCATAGACTGCTACTTTTCTCAGGCCATCAGCAGGAAGTTGGATCAGAACTGAAGCAGCTGGGACACAAATCAGCACCCATGTGGAATGCTAATGTTGCAAGCAGTGGCCTAATTTGCTATTCCACAGCATTGGCCCAGTCACAACTGTTAAAATACAGCCTTTAATAATCTCATGCAAACTCCTTTACATGATGGTGGCACCACTAAGGTTGAAAATGCATGTCCATGGGCCCGGCCCAGAGGCCTAGTGGCTAAAGTCCTCGCCTTGAACGCGCTGGGATCCCGTATGAGCGCCAGTTCTAATCCCAACAACTCCACTTCCCATTCAAGCTCCCTGTTTGTGGCCTGGGAAAGCAGTCGAGGATGGCCCAAAGCCTTGGGACCCTGCACCCATGTGGGAAACCCAGAAGAAGCTCCGGGCTCCTACTTTCAGATTGGCTCAGTTCTGGCCTTTGTGGCAGGTTGGGGAGTGAACCAGTGGATGGAAGATCTTCCTGTCTGTCTCCTCCTCCTCTCATATCTTTCTAATAAAAATAAATATGCCTACATAGTGGGTGATGGGTCCATGAACCCTGGGGCGGGGAGGCGGACAGCAGGTCCTGGGTTGCATGGCCTGGAACCTTGGGCCTGCCTGTGCAATGGGTGCTAGACCCGTGATCCCCAGGGGTGAGGGGTCCAGCTTGGCCCAGGATCTCCTGGCCGAGGTCCTTGGGCCTGCCTGTGCAGTGGATGCGGGGCGATTGAGCCCCAGGGGTGGGGCGCCCGAGGGGCCTGGGTCTCCTGGTCCAAGTCACCAAGCCCACCTGAGTGGTAGGGGCTGGGTCTGTAAGCCCCCCCCGGGGCGGGGGGAGTGTCCAGCAGGTTCTGGGTCTCATGGCTCAGGCCCATTGGCCTACTTGTGATGTGGTTGCTAGATGTGTGACCCCAGGGGGTGAGGGGTCTGGCATGGCCCAGGTCTCCTGGCTCAGGTCCAAGAGCCCACATAGGAGAACTGGTCCTCCTCAGTTAGGATGGAGTGCTGAATGGTAGACTATGGAGCACATGGAGGACATGGACGCTCACTGAGGCCTGCAGAGGACGTCTGGTACCATAGCAAAGAATGGAGAACAGAACCATAAGGTCAACGGTGTCACCCAGTGGACATTGGAAGGGATTCTTCATCCATAGACTGGCAAGATCGACAGCATTTTGAAACAATCACATCCACTGGGCAGAATCTTCGGAGCATGCACCACACTGTGACCCGGGGTTGATATCAGGTGGCCTTCCCCCATCTTCAGGTACTGGGATGGCTGGGAGGCTGGTATGGCCTTTCCTTTTTTCTCTCCTCTCCCCGCAGAAATGGGAAGAAGAAATACAAAGTTTGACAACAATGATCACACCCACTTCTCACTAACCTTAGATCCTTCCCACCCTGATTATGTAAACATCAATTAAAAATTTTTAAAAAGAGGAGACATAAGTAAATCTTCAAAAAATCACAAACACCAAATACTAGCCACATTCTCTGTCTACAATATAGAAGAATGTTTGCTACAAGATAGCAGAAAACAAAAAGCAGTAGAAAGGTAAGACTCATGTGCTCTTGGCTGGTGCCGAGGCTGGGAACTCACCTACAGGTAGCCCCCATATTCCCCTTCCAGAACCCTAAAATGCCATTAAACAAAGGCCAAATGAACCTTCCACACTCGGACTATCTGTTGATGCCATCAGTCTCACACTGTAGGTTTTGACTCAAAAAGTGGAGACCACCTGCCTTTCAGCACCCCTACTCCAACATGTGCCAATGCTCGAACCCCCTAACCTTCACTGCCATTCCCAGATCAGGCCCAGCTTCCTTCTGCTCTCAGCGTCTGCTCTACCCACCGAACCTAACCACATCTTCCTGCTAGAAGTGATCTCAAACTTCATGACAGCCTCAGACCTCAGCAAAGCCATGTTCACGGCCTAACTGTCCTTGCTAACACCTGCCCCATGCCACTGCGTGCCAGTCTTCCAAGGATTCCTACTGTGGCCCAGCCAGAGGGGCCTATGGACAGCTCTGCCCATCCACGCTTGCACGTTGTCCAAGAGGAGGCATAGGCTCAGCGTGCACAGGGACTTTGGGTCCTAGGGTGGGCAGAGAAGCATGTGGTGCAGGAACTGAGCACAGCCCTGGGCAGTGCTGGAAACAGCTTTCCTCTGCCTGCCTGGCACTGCAGTGAGAAGGCACAGACCCAGAAAATCTACCCACTCACAAGTCAAGGGGTACTCAGAAGA